CTGACGGTTGTGGGGCCAAAAGGAGATATTGGGCTAAAGTTGAGGCACAACCTTGACAAGACGCCAGACAATAGAATTATAAATCCTCTTTAATGGTGGCACATACATGCACACAGCATGAAATTTGACCTCTGCATTTAACCCATAGTGGGTTGCACACTAACAACAGTTAGTTCCGATGGTGAAGTCAACAAAACTCAATTTTTTTATGTAATTTACTTGCCCTAAATTAGTTTTTTTTCAATGTGCGTTTAATTAAGTAACATGTAAGCAACAATGAGAACATGTTTTAAGAACTCATTAATTTGTAAATTAATATCACATTTTCTGAACTTTCTTTAAAAAGACGTTTTGGAAAACGTAATAAAAATGCTTTTTTCAACGCCACGGTCATGCCACGCCCTCAAACGAGAATACCGCGGTGTGAGACTTCCTGTTCCTCTTTGCAGCGGTTCTTCAGCAGTTGGACACGTGTTTGCGTTGGATCCTCCTCAAACCATCGTAAAACAAGTAAGCATGCCACCTGAGTTATTAATTACTGCTTTTTAACTAGCAAGTTATTTACTTTTCTTGTATTCACTGTTTTGAACGAAACATCGACATTTTAATGCATGCCAGCGCCATTACTGCTGTTAAAGTTAGACTCAGCCCTGTCGTGCTCATGTAGTCTATTTCTTCACGCAAAGTTGTTGGGCAAAGTTTGCATCAAGTGCTTACCGACGCAATTCTGTTAAAAGTTAAAAGTTAAGAGCACATTAAGAATCAACTCTGCAAACTGTTCCCCTGTGCCGCTGCTCTAAGCGTTGGCCCGGGCACCGTGATGCGGCCGCGGGGCTCAGAGGCTCTCCTGCCGTGCATGTTGTGCGGTAAAATACCTCCGTTAAAACTATTCCCTACTACTTTATAACCCAGCGGTTATGTAAGAGTAAGTTACTAATGCGCCTATTTGATATTAATTCCTCTATATTTCGCCGTTTGTTTTACTGTGAGCAATGAATTATCTTTCAACAATCTTAGTGTACCCAATTTAAACTCATAGTCTGCAGTTACAGCATCGAGTTGTTATTATACAAAATTAAGTGCAAACTATATTTGTCATGCTTATGCAACGCTATCCATGTTGGAATCTGCAGGAGAGTTAACGTTAGCTCTCAGTAGAAAGTGACGGAGGTGATTTCAGTTAAGGTGCATTCAGGCGCAATTCAGTAAAAGTGTGTATTGGGCGAGGAGGCATGTATAACGTCAGCAAGATGTGTTCAATGTAGTACAGTAAAATGCAGTCTTTAGCGAGAAATATCAATAAATACAGTTTTATTAAGGAGATGTTTTACTACAACATAAAGTAGATATTAGACAGTATGCAAATGAGATAAAGGAGTGTATATTGAAGTAATTAGGATCTGCTGTGTAGAGAATCATGGAATTGTACTGGTATCTAACAATGCCATCCTTATAAATGTATATAAATACAATACCGTTTTAAATGATACTTGTGTTTTAATGTTTGATTCCATTAATTGAATTAAATATGTTTTAATGAATTCTACTGAAATGATTGTTACATTGTCATCATGTAACTATTTTGTTCTTTCATTTGCCTCACCAGAAAACAGTCCCACCTCCTCTTGAAGACATTTTGCCTCCTGCTATGGACTTCAGGTTCACATTAGGTAAGCCCTTGAGTGTGTCAGAGTTGTTGTTTCAGAGGTTAATTCAAGACGTGTTATGTTTACATACTAATATAATGAGCATCAGGTAAACGTACCCATTTCTATTTTTTGAATCACAGATGGGATGGAGATGTAAACTATGCAGCACTAGTGTCACCACTCAAAGTGATATTTTAAAACATTATCGACTCCATCATGGAACCTTTGGACAGAAACGTGCCTTGCCCTGCATTCATGTAGACTGGCATGCGCTCTCACTTATCAAGATAAAAGTTGAAATAATCGTCTGTTCTTTTTATTCTAGGACCCATGTGCCACTTTATATACATCTCTGAGCATGAGGTGGGGTTAAAAAGAAGTAGTTGGACATTTTATGAACTATATCAATATCATGACTATTTGGTTCATTTTCTTGCAAACCAGCCTTTTTTTGATGGCTTAAACCCCTTGTAATGCATGTGAATAGCACCTCTGTTACCGTCTGTTAACAGCTAATGTAAACTGGCTCGTTATGTTTTCAAGACGGATTTGATTTTTGTTTTGAGGAAAACACATGGTGTGTCCTGATTTGTACTCAATTTAGTGTTTTATTTGTATTTACAGGGAACAGCAGAGGTCGAAGTGCACCAGGCTCGTGATGCACAGCATGAAGTGATACGTTGCCGACGAGCCAGATGCAGTTATAACCATCAAGTAATAACCATGTGTCTCCATGTATGTTAATGTGTTGTGCTTTTAAACAAACTTGTTTTCTTTTATGACAACTGTTTTGAAATAATCACATTTTAATAAAATGTATTAACATGTCCATAATGTTCCCTTTTTTAATTTATTTGTTTAATCTGCAATGTTTCAATGCTATCAAATATTTAAAGGGTTGGATTCAAATCAGGAAGAGTTTGTCGTATATAGGTTCCGGCAACTCAATTGTGTTTTATAATTTACTTTATTCTCGTGTGGTTCTTAGCAGATTGTTATTTGCATTGGTTACACTTAATATCTGGGCTTTTAATTGTAGGCTCATCTCATCTTTTCATATGCAGAAAAAATCACATTAGTGAGTTTACCCAACTCCTAAAATTGCTTGGAACCACTTGACACATATTTTTTAAGTTTTAGCAAAGTAATACATTCTTGAGTAGAGGAAAACTAAAAAATTGCAAAAGTTGACTAAACAATTAAAATTGCTTGGAATCGCTTGACACATATTTTTTAAGTTTTAGCAAAGTAACACATTCTTGAGTAGAGGAAAACTAAAAAAAGTACATTTCACCAACTCAAAAATTGCAAAAGTTGACTGAACTCTTAAAATTGCTTTGTAATCGCTTGACACATATTTTTTAAGTTTTAGCAAAGTAACACATTCTTGAGTAGAGGAAAACTAAAAAAAGTACATTTCACCAACTCAAAAATTGCAAAAGTTGACTAAACTCTTAAAATTGCTTGGAATCGCTTGACACATATTTTTTAAGTTTTACCAAAGCAACAGTTTTTACAGTGTGTGGTGGGTGCTTTGAGAATCCGACTGCACTTACACTATCGACGTATTTATGATGCGCCAGTGGACGTCATAAATGTGCGTCTGCTGCTGTGGGGAAACTACAGTTTTCTATACAGCGGACAACATGGATGTATAATAAGAACGGCGGACTACTGTAAACACATCTAGAACACTGCGTTCTTATGGTGTTGTTTTATGCTTTATGAACATGGACAACAGTGAAACATGTTTATATTTCGCCTTTTGATTATTATACGTTTTAAACTGCTTAATAAGCACCGTAACTTTCATGATATAATTTCTCGGTCATAATCGGTTGTTTCCGTGAACGGCCGAATGTTGTGTCACGGTAAATGTTGCGGCCGCAAGGCATTGTGGGGGCAGCATTTTCTCCTTTCCTTTTGTAAAGGAAGGTCCAGTGTTTCCTAAGCTAAAGGAGGTTATAAAGGAAGTTTCAAAGCTCCTTTCCTATCATCTAGAGATTTCGAACAGCTTTTATCATGGCGGCCACTGAGGTATTTCCGGGTCATTTCGCTCCGTTAGGAAGGTTCCTGACTGACAATTCGACCGCAACCAATAGTGGGCAGCTATTGTACAGCGCCCGGGGAGCAATGGGGAGTGTGGGGGCAGGGACCTCTCCAATTAGCAGTCCAAACTCCATATTTAGGTCTGTTCGTGAACTTGAACCGACGACCCTACAGTTCCCAGTCCAAGCCCCTACTGACTGAGCCAGTGCCGGACATATCCTCTGATGATACAAAAAAACCCACAACCACTCACACCTCACACCTCATAACCGCATGTTGCATTTACACTGAACTAGTGCAGTTCTCATGCAAAACATATCTCTTCCAGATGGGCTTAATGCTTGGCCTGTGCTATTGCTGCTTGCATCTCTCTCAACTCGTTCATAAAATCAACTTCTCAATTGACACTGTGCTTCCTGGGTACTGATCATTACAACTGTGACCACGTTGTTTTTCACACACCCAAGTCACAGCTACTCAGTTACAATGTGAAATACAATCTGGTTCACAGAAAAAATAACCTATATTAGTTGCACTGAACTAAATTTGACACCGCACGTCATTTGATCTTCCATTTTATTGTTTAATTAAGCAAAATAGATAATTAGTGCTAGTTAAAATGATCAATGAGTGTGCTACTTACAATAATAACTTCTTAGATTCCTAATCCGAATAGCTTCACACATTTACCAAATTCACTTCACTCAGCAACACACGCCGTGCAGTAGATTGGTCCAAGGGTTGGTGAGATAATTGAAAATGAGATACACACATACACAGTGATGATGCCTCTATGCATCTCACAGTTCATTTAGCTTCCATACTTTCTCGTCTGCCTTAGGATAAATTGACAATAAATATGATATATTCTTTTGACAAAGGATGTTCTTGCCCACCTGCTTTGTGACCATACAACTGCAGATGTTGCAACTTATTCATGTATCAGTCTTTTTTTACCCCCTACGTTAAAATATCTGTAGGCTGTTGAAGATTCAGCAAACTGTGAGTTCCTAACAGCAGTGTGTTACTGACTGTCAGAAGAACAACATGCTGTACTATAACACTCTGCCATTATGTGTTTTTAAAAAAAAAAAAATCTATTTCGGATTTGTTTCTTTCTTTTGCAATACCGCAAACTATCAAACATTTCTTTAAAGAAAATTCATAATATTTTACTGCTATGTGCTTTACACTTATACATTGCTTTGATTGTTTGCTTGGAAATGAACAACTTGTCTGCTTCAGTAGCATCAATCAGAGTTTATAAGAGCAATATGAAAATGAAAACCACAACATTGTCCGTTAATTTCTTAAAAACAGGCTCCAGTTGCTGGAAGCATTTATTAGTGTCATCTTGCAAGTCAAAACTAACATATACAGTACATCACTTTGCTAATCCTATTCAATTAAAATAAACAATCTATTTTGAAAAAACAGTGCTGCTTAGTAAAAAAAGTAAAAAGTAGAAACATATACTAATACTAGAATTGAATGCCCTCTACATTATGTAACATTGGATCTAGAGATTCAATATCAGTCATTAAATGAACTGTGTGCATCACTATTACACTCTATGACTGTCTGCAAAACAGTTGAGTGGTGTGACAGCCGTTCACTTGCATGAACATTAATGAAAGATCAGGCATTTGATCCAGGAGAGAAAATAGAGGTGTAAAGTACATTGCTATGTATTAGAAAAATGTAAACGTTCAAGTATCAAGTTGCAGTGTCTGAGGTCATTACTGCAAGAATAACTTATATAATAATACAATTAATCGTTCAATAAATTAACATAACCACATACATTAGTCTCAAAAAGGCATGGAAAATCTCACATTATAAATAGAATAGAATAAATACAAGAATAAATAAATAAATAAATACATAGACCTCATAAATGGTTTAGGCCCAAAATACATTTGTAATCTCCTGCTAGATTATGAACCATCCAAAACTCAGGTTTTCGGGGAAAGGTCAACTTTCTGTCCCAACTAAACATGGAGAAGCAGCGTTCAGTTATTATGCTCCAAATATCTGGAACAAACTACCAGAAACCTGCAGGTCCACTGCAACTCTTACTACTTTTAAATCTAGGCTGAAGACTTTTCTTTTTGCCGCTGCTTTTAATTGAACTATTCACATCTTAAACTGCACTGTAACTTGTATCCATGTATTTTTTCTTTTAATGTTTATTTTATTATCTTTGCTTTTTAATGACTGTTTTAAAATGTCACTTTCTTAATGTCTTTCATTTTTGTAAAGCACTTTGAATTGCCTTGTGTTGAAAGGTGCTATATAAATAAACTTGCCTTGCCTAAATTAAAACATTAGAGCTCAGTAGTCCTTTCTTTTAAGATGACCGTAGGGTTGATATCACTTCCGCGTGACTGGGAGGAGCTTGAGTTAATTATCGTGGATCCCGTTTCTTTGACGTCGGGCACGTGAAATGATGCGACGGGACAGGGGCCCCGGACATTATCGCAGACCAGCTTCTGCAACGAGGCGGTGTTGATGATGTCGAAGCCCACGCTGCCTCCGAATGTGCTCGGCTTCCAGTACTCCGGGGAGCAGATGGGGTTTCCCATTAAGCCCTTTAGTGAGTAAGGGGCCCCCATCTCCACCATGGTCTCCCCAAAGATGGCGTTCTCCCTGGGTTTCTCCACCAGTAGACCCGGGTAGAGCTCCACAGCGTCGACGTGGCCGTAGAACTCCTCGAGCAATGCTGCCATCTCTTTCTCTCCTGAGTAACACAAAGCAGGACATAGTTTTAGTCAACGGCTCAATCTGGCTAGTCTCACTCCAACAGCAGCTGCAAAGCTGTCTGCTAGTCTTATGAGTTCATTGTTTTGACTGATTCAAATCCAACAAATTGTAGATTAAAGTATTTCTCTTCTTGACTTCATGTCCGTCTTCCTCTTGTCTGTCTTACAAGCATGTACACGCTGATATCTTTCTCTCCTCATACATTAAACGTTTTCTCCTCTCAATGAGGAGACCTCTCTCGTCTGTTTATGTCTTGCTCTCTGTGATGACAATCTGCTTATACTATCTCAAGATGAAATGAACATCTGGTTCTTAAAGTCACGGAAATAAATTCCTAACCTCCAAAGTAGCTGAGGACTAAAGTCCATACCATTTCTTTCATGATAAGTAACCTCGGATATTAGCTTATATTTTACGATATTTAGCGCCTGGGTGTGTTGTTCAAACTTGCATTCCTGCAATTATTTCATTACAATGGTATTACAGTAATAATGCATCAATCATTTGGCCTGAGGCAACATTTCTGACACTTTATTTTGACAATAACCTCCTGACTAATCCTATGACGTGATCCTTTCCACTTATAAGTACATAGCCTACTAGGATATGTGACTTTGTCTCACCTGTCAGGTCTTCAAAAGAGGTGTAGGGCTTCATGGAGAATCGTTTCCTGTAGGCGTTCATAGACTGGTAGCGCATCTGTCTGCTATTTTCAATGGATTTAATGGCCACATACATAATAGGTCCTGGAACATTTCGGCCGCCAGCAACCTAAAAACATGAAGGGAAAGTCAGTAACTCTGCATTAAAGCAGCAGTGATGTTACAATCTGAATCGAAATGCTGCTCAAAAAGCTCTTACCCGTCCAGCAATCTGATTGGTGAATGACTCCACAAGGTTTCCGATGCCGTGCTCGGTCACTACGGAGGTGTTGAAGACAAACTGTTTATAGCTGTAGTCTTTCTCCTCAATTTGGAAGGTGTCAGGCATCAGGGGGTGCCAGTGGTACAGGGTGTTGAACTCAGACGCAATGCGGTTCTGGTACTGGAATTGCTGGCTGAACAGCAGCTCGGGGTCAAACTTGAGCTTGAAGTTATAGCCGCTCAGGTGCTGCACGTAGTCCTCGATCACAATCTTGATGGTCTCTCCTACAGGGCAAAATATTACATATTTTAAATAATGCAGATATAAAAGATGTTTAAACTACTACCACTTTTTAGAAACCGTGCAAAGTTAAAGTGCACATATAACTAAGAATAAACTTTCATTTAATTAGGAGCAGTTAAACCTGGGAATCAAAATACTTTTTTTTTAAATGAAAGACTGTCTGCATTTAAACAAAATGTTTTAATAGGTACTTTGGTTTAAGTAGTGTATTTCTTGTCACTATGTTTGGATGTTGATGAATAGTCCTGCAATGAAAAACTAAACATGGCCTGTTTCTCACAGTAGAGCTCAAATGTCCCACTGTGTACAAAAGGGTTGCTGGTTAGTGATTAACCAAATAAAAAAGGTACAACTTCCTCCTTTTCTAATTGTTATGTTTTGACCTTCATTTTCCCAGCAAAATTACAGCAATTGTGCATTAACTCACCAATCAGAATGAGCCGGGTGGTCTGGAAGAGCCTCTCGTCATTCCAGTCAGGGTGGACCTCCTTCAACACGTCACACACCCGGTTATGTTCCCGTAGCCAGATGGTGGCGTACATCATCAGACCGGGGACCAGGCCGAAAGCCTCGTGGCCCACAGCGAAGCGGTGCGACTCAGGAACATGAGGGGGGGTAGTGCATTTCAGCTCCCACTTCCTTTACTGTTGGGGGGTACACCTCTCCATCCAGGATCTGAAGAGTTACGCAAGAGAGAAAGCAACTGTAAGAAACTTGTGTGATCAGAAGCATTGTTTAAAGGACTGTCCATCGGACTCTTCTCATACCTGATGTTTAAGCTTGCCATCCTTGAAAAGTCTGAGCTTATGTTGCCTCTCCAGGGTGTCTCCATAAATGTGGCTGAGGTCCACCTAAAAGCATAAACAACAGCATTAATACAATTGATTAATTCACAAATATATTCGTCTACCTTTTCCCAATTAGAATCTGACTAGGTGTGACATCTGAAATGCTTACCCCGTGACCTTTAGCAAGGGTAAAAGCAGGTCCTTTCTTCATATCAGATTTGAAGAACTGGTGTGTGAAATGCTGTGCGAAGAATGCAAACATCAGGCTGGTTCCCTGCGGGTCCGGGATAAACTGTCTTCTCATCAGAAGCTTCTCAGCCAATAGCTTTGCATCAGGTAGCTCCTTTTTACCTGGGGAAGGAGTTAAGAAAATCACAGTTAGCATGCAGCATTGCAATACAGAATCAAGGCAGTTTGGATATAACAGAGTAAATCACTACATTTGAATCATGTTCTTCTATCACTGAAGTTAATAGTCTTAATAAATCAGTTTGTTCTTCAGCTTTGACTAGCTGGTGCAAGTTTTACTGTGTCCCTTAGGCAAATTTCCATTCTGACAATCCAGCTGAAGGGATCAAGGTTTGCTGTGCTTGTGATGTAATGCGTCCATGCTAATCTTGCTAATTATTTAAGAATCTGAAATAACTGGTTCTCCAGAGGCAGAGAGAGTGTTCTCACCTACTACTCCCATAGGGGTTGGGCAATTCTCCGGCACAGGGGGGAGGGAGCGCGTATAATAAGAAAGGTTGGAATAGGCTTCCCAGCTCTTGTATCCATAATCAGCATTGAAAGTTGGAGGACTATCAATCAAGTGGGATCGAGCTAGAGGGCAAAAAAAACATTTCATTATTAGTACAAATGCTATAACTTATTCTTCAAGAGCAGGTGAACAAATTATTGGATGTGTCAATCCATTTCATTATTTTGCCTTCAGCTAGAGACGCTTACATGTCAGCACATATTTCATGATGCCATTCCGGATAAATGAGATGTTGTTGATGATGTTCCAGAAGCCCTTAAAGTGGGTGAGAAGGTAGTGAACAGTGTTGGGCGACGGCTTCAGGGATACTTTGATCCAGGTCAGGAATTCAGCTGTAAAGCCAAGAGGGAACGTTAGACATTGAACAAAAGACCACAATCATTACAATCACCTCACTTGTGCCCTTCACACTCACGTGTTGTGCAGTTGTGTCCTTGATATCCTGTTCGTGTGCAATCACATTCGTAATTATCTGCTCCTTGTGCAGTGCAAACACCCTTGTTCTGGCATGGCTCTGAGCAACATGGGTTACCTGGGACAGACAATGTTGGACGGTTATTCATTTGGTTCACTTCATGGCATAATTTTTTGTTTTAGAAAAACATGTATATGAATAAAAAAAATCTCATAATATGTGTGTGATAATACAATGAACTTCTGACACTCTAATGGTATTGAAACCTTTTAGTATTAGAGGCTATAATGTTCATATACAATCCATTTCAACATATTGAATATATATGTATTACTTCTGATAGACCAATACACACAAAATTGAAACATGTATATAACATTTCAGCCACTTAAACGCGAAGTAAAACAATTCCAGCATCTGTTTAAAATCATATGTTCTGTTTACTCACCCCCTGCGCAGACAAGAACACCCAGTGCCAAGAAGAAAACTGCAAAAGTAAATGTGTTCATGCTCCAAAGTCTTAGGTTCTCGTTCTCGTTCTCGTTTTTCTTTCCTTTTCACTCCTCTCCTACGCTGCGGTGTCGCGCTGAGGCAGACTTTGAATGTGTGAACCTGCACACCGACCATGCCTTTTATATAGTCCTTCCTGCGGTGACGTCATTTTGGTAATGATAGTTCACCGGGCATATAATACATCAACTATTTTAACGTGAGGAATTTTCATTCTTTCACAATCTTAATTTCTCACGAATTTAGTCTTTAATGGAATCAAGCTAAATTGTACTGATATTTGACCGGCAAAGCTTCCCTTTTTAATTTATTACAATACTAATATTGAAAATAATTTTGAACAAAAGAGACTGAAAAGTTCCAGCATTCATTTGCAAAGCAGTTCAGTCTTAATTATATAGACTACATAGCTTTCAAGAGGGCTACTTTTATTCAGAATGATTATATTATTTAATATAATAAAATAAATGTGTCCTAATCATGGATCATATGGAAGATAAAGATATATAATGTATGTGTAGTATTTTATTTATTTCAAATCACACGCGAATATGTTCTCTCTGAAAGATGAGAACATTTAATTCACATTATTAAATGTAACTAGAGGCTGTTTGAAACCAGCATATCCCCTGGTCTCTGATGGCATCAAGGAAGAAACTTGTTTTTTGGAAACAGAAAATCAACAGTAATTATTATATATATATATATAATATATATATATATATATATATAATATATATATATATTATATATAAATAATATTATATGTATCGTTAACAGCGCCTCTTGAAAGCATTTTTTTAATGATTGTGTTATTTGTCTACATGCCATGATAATAAAAATTACCACCAGACAGACCCCAAAAATACATATTTAACTAAAATGCTAAAAGTTTAGCGTCATCCGATTCACACTTTCTTTTTTTTTTATTTTCTTTTTATCAACGTAAATCCATTACGCGCCCTCTTGTGGACACTGCGCATTTGGTGAGCAGTCGATGAGTCAAAAGCTGACTCCCATGAATAGTTTTCATGGAGTCTTCGTCTGAAACTAACATTTGAAACAGAGATTTTTTTTGTTTGTGGATTACGTTGAATTAGTGTTTATTAAAATTGTCCTGAACGTGCAGTCTGCTCCAGCCTCTTAACTGCCGGGTGTGCGTACTGTTCATCTGGTGAGGCACCTCCTCTTTCCCCTATGGAGGAAGGATACTATCGGACAGCATGACACATTTTGAAGGCTTTTCTCCACGATTAAGGTACGTTTCCAATTTCAATTATTTCACAGTGTAAAGGTTTATAACTGTTGGGGGAGCAGGGAGTGTCAGTGCCAGCAACTGCTGCTGGGGGTTTAACCATCGTCTCCGTGAGCAGTTGACTTTACGCAACTCAGGACAAGGAAACTAAAAACTCAGTACTGCCAAAACATACAGAGCATTTATACTGCATTAAATCAATTGGCAAAAGCCTATTTTACTCGCTAAATACGTCAGATTATGGTGAACAGTTCCATGTAGATGCCAACAGTCAAGAATTTTTTATTAGTCTTTATTTTATTTCCTTTTTTTGTTTCTTTTTTTTTTTAGATTGATACGTTTAACTATCATCTCTTTTGTCTTACATTATCTGAGGCAATCCTATTATCTAACTTTGCATGTAGCAACTTCTCCTCTCAGATTTGACCCACCTGGCTAATAAGAAACAGGGAAAACCTGTTTATGGTTGCCTAATAAATCTTGTATGAAGCCTACAATTCTGATAATGAATATACAGTAATGACTTCCTCTGTAATATTTCCTTGGTAAATGCACAGTGATTCCCCTCAGTGTGGGTTTTTTTATTTTGTTTTTTAATCCTCCAACCTTCACATGTATTTCTGCAGGTCTCCTTTGAAAAAGAGATCTATGATCTAAATGGGACCAATCTGGTTAAATAAAGGTTTGAAATGAAATGATTTCTCATGTAGTACAACATGTGCAAAGAAGGAGATGTACTGTATGCCTTTAGAAACCTCTAATGCACTGCAGCTGTTTTGCATCACGGCTGGTTGCTGTTGGTCTCTTTGGGTTTTTGCATCACCATATGAAAATGTAGTCCTGTTATCCAGTGTGATATGTTGGCACACACACAGGACTCAGCAGCCTGCATGCATTCATTGTACGCTGCAGAACAAGGGCAGAGTGAACTGGCACTAGCCAAAGTTGGACCACAGATGCCCACTACGTGACCAATGCTGTGAACACACAGCCTCTCTACGTGCTCTCAGTCGCCTAGTTATGACATGCTTTGTTAAACAGCGGAGAAAAGGCTGACTGACCTTGATATGCTATCACAGCACACACACATTCCCTCACTCTCATACACACACTAACCCTGTATGCAAATGTATTATCAACATACTGTTTATGTGTTCATACCTTTGTGCAAAGAAAGCTTTAATGTTCCTAAAAATATCATCTCACCACCTCTTCTGCAGATGCACCTGACCATGCATTAGATTGTGTAGTAATAATTATTAAAAGTAATTAATGTTATTTACACTCTATCTTTGTTAGATAGTGTGACTGATAAGTCATATCAGTCACATTAACATTTCCTTTTACTTCCATATTTCTCTCTCCCTCTCTCTCTAAACGTGCATATGCTGTACTTACGCTCATACGTACTTTAATGTTAGCTATTGCTCCAGTCATCTTATCATGTGTTTGTGGCACAGCACACTTCCCTCCGCCCTTGTTCGAGATGCTAAAGGCTTCACCCTTCAGCGTTGGCTGTAAGAAGGGGTTTTCCTTCTTTTAAGAAGTTACAGAAAATGCTTTATTGTGTTATGCTGGTGAGAAGAGGGAACACAATGCTTGTAAATGTTTGTTAAAGCTTTACTCCTAAATTTGCACTGATATTGAACTTTTTTTTCCAGTTTCCAAATGCTTCAGTTTCTTGACTGAGATGTTCTCCTGAGTTCCCATCTTGACAAAGGCTTTCCTGAAGATTACTTACCTGACAACACACAATGGCTTCCAATATAATTGTGAGTATTGGCATGCAAACTGAGCCAGGTTGAGACAAAAACAGATTCCAGTTGTTTGAATCTCTGCGCAAATCATTCCTTAGCAGGATTTGGATTATACAGTAGAATGAGCTTAGAATGAGCTTCAATCTTTTTTCTCTGAAGCAAAAACTCAACAGCAAGGCCTTTTCATTATCTCTGCAGCAGGTGCCGAGGGGTATATGGGTTGTGTTTAGCAGCAAATATTAGCATGGGATAATCTGGGAGAGAGCTGCATTCACAGCCATAACAGTTTTATATCTAACATCACTTTTTGTTTCAAAGACTTGTTAATGGTTATTGAAACCACATTTTCTATTAGCATAACTTGGATGTGCAACAGGGGAGGATAAATGGTGTAAGGTAAATCTGAGGATAACAGGAGGGTTAAGGTAACCTTTTCCACTATACGTACAGGACAATGGCAAACAAGGGATTTGTAATTGGGCAAATAAAGTATTATTGTAAAGGCTTGTTACCTACCGGGTACAGTTACAGAGAGCACACCTTTAGAATAGTGTTGCTATAAATACATTTAATACCAGTGTTGCCAAAAAAATGCAACATGTTGCTGTCAAATTACAAGGAGAAATGAAATGTGATGCAAAGTGAACCCTGAACCAGAGAATTTCACGTGGGAAACAGCCAAAAAAATGTGTCACTGACTGACACATGATGAATGTGCATATTGTTTTGCATCATGGTTGGAGTGACTTTCCAACAAGATAATGAGCTGAAATGAATGAATGTTGTATGGCAGGTGGAGCAGCAGTTTTCTCACAAATTCACAGTGACGGTGGTTCGAGCAGAGAGCGTCACAAAGGGAGCACTGGGTGACCTGTGTGAGTCTTAATGCATTTTTTTCACTTATACTTGTCATTCACACATTACAAAATTGTTTTGCAGCAAATGATCCAGAACATGTTGCATGCACATATTATCTTCTGGTGTATGTTTGTGTTATTTACACTGGAATTGTTTTGAAGTGGATAAAAAGGTTCCCTGAAATAATTTGAGATTAACAAATTATATGTATAATACGTGTGTGTTGCAGTGGACACCCCAGATCCATATGTGGAGCTGTTCATCTCAACAGCCCCGGAGAGCAGAAAAAAGACCAAGCATATAGACAACAACATCAACCCAAAATGGAACGAGACCTTTCAGTTCATATTAGACCCAAACCAGAACAACGTCCTGGAGGTAAAACAGTTATTTCTTTTTCTAGGCAGTCTGTACCAGTACAGGATGACATTTTGGGATGTAGTGGATTGATATATAGTATATGTACCTTTTCTAAAAAGACTAAACTGCACTTAAACAAAGCCAGTATATGCAGTATGGAAATGTATTTAACCATTTGTCTGATGATGTTTATCCCAATCAGTTAACATTAATGGATGCCAATTATGTGATGGATGAGACACTTGGGACCGCGACCTATGACATCACCAAGCTCAAAGTAGGCCAGAAAAAGATGGAGTCGTTCCTCATTGGCAAAGTAAGATATTTATTCCCAACAGACTTTTTAAATTCATCATTATGTACTCATGCTGAGATCACATATTTTCTGAAGATATTACATATATGAAGATGGAATTGAAAGCTACTACCAGCTGCTCTTTCACTGAACAATAACCACATATTTTATTGTTTTGACAGGCAACCAAAGTATACTTAGAGATGTTGCTGGAGATCTGGTAGGTATTGCCTAAAATTGTGTATTTTATTTTATAGCAAAACTTGTTTATCAGAGTTTGCTCTGTGATCAACCTAGAGGCCCTTGTGTTAAATGGTAATACTAGTTTTATGAGTGTGTGTGTTAAAATCCATCACTGGATGAAGAATACCAAATAAATCACCCGGAGCAATGCAGAAACTAAAATTAGAACTTCAAGCAGAATGACTCAATAAGAGGAAACGTGTCTAAAATGATATAGCATTAAAATGCATCATAATTCCTGTTGCATCACTGCATAGGGGTTTGTGGGAGGATTTGGAAATACCAAACAGGTTTGAAAGTGTTTATAATTATGAGGAGGTGAGCAGTGAGCGATGCTGAGGAATTTTGTCTGTGAAAGTGTTTCACACCTAGAGAAAGATCTTCACTGGCCTAAAGATCGATGTCAACATCATTAGTAATGTTACGTACACTGAGAGATCATATCCTACTGTCAGCAGAAGATGTAAATATGAGTTATTGTTTGTCTTCCCATTATCAGATTTTATTGAACCTTGTTTTGCCTTTGTTGCTGCAGTACTAAACTGGATCTGCGGTTCAGCCATGCCCTGTGTGACAAGGAGAAGCAGTTCAGACAGACCCGCAGAGAGAGGGTGATGCTGGGCATCAAGAAGCTGCTGGACATGGAGAAGCCTCGATTCCTCCCTAGCTCTCCAGAGGAGGTGGGAACTCAGCCACACAACTTCAAGTTTATAAAACAAAAACATTTGTTTAGTCTTTTCATAAACCTGTGAGTTGACAGCTTAATTTATTAAGAGGCCAAATTCAAGATCCGTTTGCACTTTTACTTCATTTCTTATGATTAAATCACTTTGATAAGTTTAAGCAAACATTTTTGCTTTATTTAACCTGAGTTACTGATACTTTAAAAGTTCCTAAATCTGTGCAAAGTAAGTCACCAGAGAGGTTCTTTCACATTCCTCTACTAATGGAAAATATGTCTTTGCACCTCTCTACAAAAGATACAAACGGACCCTGGGGAAAACTAGTTTAGGTACACGCACATTTAAATAAGCCAATCACTGTCTAATTTGCAAAAGCCGACACATATTGACAGGTTAACAGTCCTCGACACAACTCTGGCAAAGGAAGCAGGAACCTCCAGTTCAGAGACGGCAGCGCATTAGCATAGTGAAAGTAAATCGTATGCTCATTAGCTGCTTCACATAATAAGTTGTCACTGCTAGCTTGCTGTCACAACACTTACTTGAAATCTATGCTGTGACTGTGCTCCTGCCTCTGTGAGTAGATCATTTGAAAAGCCTCACCTCCACCCTAGCATCCACTTGAACATACACTCTGAATCTACATTCACAACAGCGAGGAAAGTTTCTATCAACATGTTTTCATGTGAGGAAGGATCAGACCCTAGATGCCAAATACCTGCTCTATGCCTTTTTTACAGTCCCATTCCACAGGAAGTAGCAGACTGAGTTATAGCTATGTGTGCTTACTTTGGCATCCCTCGTTCTTGTACATATTCACTTCATGATCTATAGGATTAAGCCTATTGAAGAAGACAAAAAGGAAAACATGCAAACCTTTGAGGCCTTTGAGGCCTTTGCTCTAATATAATGAGACTTACTAAATTCAAATGCACTTGTTATTTGTTATGCACTTTTCACAAAGTGTGTGTCAAACCAAAAAGTATACCTTACAAACCCCCAAGTTGTGTGCCCCTGCACTGACTTAGGCTAAGTTTCATTTTCGTGCTGATGTGGATTTGGCTTGACGCCCTTGGGGCTGGCTGTAATCTCCAGCCAGGCCTGCACATGTCCTCAGAATGTGCCGGAAGATCCAGAGGAATGAGATAACCAGCTTCTGCCTTTCACTATGCTACACCATCACTCCACTTCCTATCCAGGACGACCCTTGTATGTCTGTCAGAATAGTAAAAACTGACCGCGAGATAAAAACAGTGCAGACAAGGAAGCAACATTGCAAAATAAAATTATGAAATTGTTGAAAATCTGAAGAGCAAATGTTGCAAAGGCGTGACGCAACTTGCAGCCTCACTGTATAGAGCCACAGGAGGGAAGTTAGTCAACCTGAAAGAATGAGAATGAATACAAGACTCATACTATAAACAGTTAAGTATGTAATTATGTGATTAGGCATGTCTTTGTCTTGTATTATTCACATTATGACTATGTCTATGTGTGTGTGTGTGCGTGTGTGTGTGTGTGTGTGTGTGTGTGTGTGTGTGTGTGTGTTGCAGGTTCCAGTTATAGCCATTGCGGGCTCAGGAGGCGGTTTCCGTGCCATGGTTGGCTTCTCAGGTGTGATGAAAGCCCTGTTTGAGTCTGGGGTCCTGGATTGTGCCACATATGTTGCCGGCCTTTCCGGATCCACATGGTCAGTTTTCATTTCTCGTCATCTCCTTTTATTTAGTTTTATTTCTCTTTTTTATACATTCTCACAACATGAACCCTTTTTTTCTAGAGGCATTTTCTCTCTTGTCATCTTATTCTTTCATATTGCTACTTTTCTTTCTTTTCTTTCTCTCTTTTGATGTTGCTTCCTCCCTTCCCTAGAACTCTCTTTCCTTCCTCCGCTGGTACGAAGCTGTAACTCTGGTTTGCTTTAGTCTCCATCCTCATATTTGTGCAGTGACTTAATGGATTGAACTTCCTTATCAATGCAATACTTCCAGTAAAACATTTTTAATACAAGCACAGGCATATTTATTTTAGCAATCATTTGCTGATTTTTTTTATTTCTCTTGATCACTGTAGGTACATGTCCACTATCTACTCCCACCCAGAGTTTCCAAATAAGGGCCCGAAGGATATAAACCCAGAGCTGATGAATAGAGTCAGCAGTAACCCGCTGAAGCTGTTGCTGCCCCAACACATCACCAACTACATCCAGGCCTTGTGGGCTAAAAAGGCCTTCGGGCAGCCTGTTACCTTCACTGATATCTTCGGTATGCTCATAGGAGAGACGCTCATACCTGCGGTAAGAGACGCATGACAGCTGTTGTTTGTTGATGGAATTTGTGTCGGTATTGCTTGGCAGTATGTCAATCCTTCTCTTCCTTTCAGTTCATGTTTCTTTTCCTCTATATTATTTCGTGCTGACGTCCCATACAGGCCTAACACAAGTTTTTTATTTTCATTTTGTGCTGTTTATTCCCCATTTATATTACTTTCTCTTTTTCTACTTCCATATAACCATGACAACTTTTACTAACTGCCACATTGTATGTGTAAATGACTCAAAAACTGCCATCTCTTCCATTAGAGGATGGACATCAAACTGAGTAGCATCCAGGAGAAAATAAACCAGGCCCAGTGTCCTCTTCCTCTCTTCACATGTCTGCATGTCAAGCCAGATGTTTCTGAGCTCATGTTTGCAGGTAAATACATATCTATCTTTTTGTAAATGTCTGCATGTGCCTTTATGTTAAATTGTATGTTACATGTAAACCGTGTCCCTCAGAATTATTTTGCATATGTAATGAGTAACTTGAGAGATAATCAGATGGCCACACATGCAAAGCAACCATGCGGTACTTATTTCCTTATAATGCTGCTCTGCAAAGAGGATGTGTGATGGCGGGTAGAGTGCAAAAGGCCATAATAGACTCGGGGTTGGTCTTGTGTTAATGCTAAAACTTCCTCTTTGTAAGGGCTATTAACCCAGGCTGCACTGGGCTCCAATAAAACAAGCGTGTGAAAAATAAATACCAAAGCAGAAGCTGACATTTTAAGTGATCTTCAAAGATCATTGAATACACACTTTCTACTGGCTCCAAATGCAAATACTAGTATTACAGTGAGACTCGATAAATATATAGATAACCTTTGCTTGGGCACAGTATTACGTTCCATTGCTTTACATTTAAAACATAACATACATTTGACAACAAGGTAGTTTTGAAAAAACACACCAAGAATTAAAAAGTGTGATGTCCTTTGGAGACACTTTCTGGTGTTTACAGAACAAATTAATTAAAACTTGGAAAACGTGGTAGCTGCGATTCGAATACGAATACAATGACATTAGACAATTGACTTGTTTCTTGCTTGAGGTAATGTCCATTCTCCCATCCCATCTAAATAGTTGTTTTAATGTGTAAGGGTTGCTGTTACAATATCAAAGTTATTAATCTCACGTTTGAAGGAGTACCAAACAATATGTCACATACCAACAAAAGAAAATCCAGAGAAGACAATAATACACTCTAAAGATAATTATTGACAATACGTCACTTAGGGTGTACGTGACTTTAAACATGTCCCAAAATACTGACAACAAAAGAAAACTGGCCATGCTATTTCTGATTGATGAAGTGAAAATGCTGTGCAGTGTCACTTTGATATGCATGAGGGTGAGGCCACACTCAATGCTAATCTAGAATAACAGCCGGGACTTGAATAACCCAAGTGTGACCCCTGTGATATGAATCATATTGTGCATCATGTGTACCAACTAAAGACACTCTTTTATTGACGTATAAAACCAGCCCTATTCCCTATTTCAAATACAAATCCTTTTATTGTGTTTTCAATCCAGTTGTCAGCTATTTGGTGCATGACAGATTGAATTGAAAGTGGCATCTCCTTCGAAACAGGCCCGGAGATTTTCGATATGATTATGGTCATCATATTGCATCACAAAATGTTTCACATTTCTGTTACATTAACACTGAGGTTTCCACCTGCAGACTGGGTGGAGTTCAGCCCGTATGAAATTGGGATGGCAAAGTACGGCACCTTCATGACCCCTGACTTGTTTGGAAGCAAGTTCTTCATGGGAACCGCTATAAAGAGATACGAGGAGAACCCTATTCATTTTCTAATGGGTGAGAAAGGTGTTTTCATCCAAAGCAGTCAGACTAGTTTCCATTATTTAACGTACTACTCACGGTATATATTTTCTTATTCAGGTGTGTGGGGCAGCGCCTTCTCCATCCTGTTCAACAGAGTGCTGGGAGTCAAAAACACAGTTGGAGGAAGCACCATGGAGGAGGAATTAGGTAATCTTTTTGTCTCTTATTGAGGAATACATATAATCCCCAAATAATGCAATAATTTGGAGTGAGATCACCAGATCAGATGCTCAAAAACAGCCACTCATTGGACCCTTTGAAAACATTGTTTTGTCCACTAAAAAAAAATTACTTTCAGTCAGTTGTTACAATAATAAAAAAAACGTAAATAATAGAAAACTTACAATGATTACGTTTTTTATGTTAAGTGTAATATTTTAATAACAAACTATTGCATAGAGGAAAATGTATTGTGTCAAAAATCCTAATAAAATGCATATCATCCTTGCAGTATGCGTGACAATAAATTTGAAAAACGAGGATCCTAAAACACAAGAATCTTAAATATGTGTTTAGTCATGGGTGTCTTGTGTAAGTGGAAAATAAGTGTTCGTTTACAGATAATGCCACTTTCTTTCGTCTGTATTGATCTTTTGATACAATTCCTTCTGTGATACACCCGTCACTGAAACTGACACTCAGTCATGCCTCATTGTTATCTGTATTTTCTCGCCTCATGCCAGAATTATTCTCACGCACTTTGACACCTGTATCCTCAAACATTTAAAGATAGCTGATTTAAAATCATCTCACCTGATTTAAAATGTGTGGCATTACTGTTTGTGTGTGTGTTTGCACGATGTTGCGAAAACAGTGTATCAGCTTTCCTTCCCATATCCTGACAACTCACTTTGTTTTGGTTGAAAGTGTTTGTTTGGGGTGACCTTTTAAATGTCAGACACTCTCTGCATTTGTTGTACTAAAGTGCCAAGACATCTCCACCCAGTCAGGTATTCTTTATCAGGTGTATTGCATTTCTCTGAGGACTTCTTTTGGCAGATAAAAACAATCGACAGTGAATTTGATAATGTCACATAGCTGAACAAAACAATTCTTACTGATACAGTGTCGATATTTGGTATGACTAAGATTAAAAAGCGTGTCTGAAGTAGTAACCTGATAAGTGAAGCTGTCTTGTGTCTTACAGAGCAGATCAAACCCCAGCACATTGTCGGAGAAGACAGTCTGGACAATGACGACGAGCCGCGTAAAGGTGAGCTAAGAAATGCACAATTCATGCCCGGAGCTGACGAACACACAGCAGTTTGATTACATGTGTAAAGGCACATTAGAGGTGTGTGACTTGAAATAGTGTCAGTAAACATTTTGACACATTGTTGGGTTGCGGGGAAAGTTAACGCCTTAACACATTTGTCTGTATTTCCGTGGTATTGTTGACATTTGCATCTGTCAGTGTGACTCAGCTACATGAGAACAGCTACTGTGGTTTCTGTCAGGACATGACAAAGCGCTTATTGAGATTTCACTTGTAACTCTTGGGTTTGTAGACTTTGTATTGTATGTTATAATGTACACACCTTGGCCAATGAACATGTGTTTTTTACTTTTCATGATCCTATTAATAATATTATATATATATATATATATATATATATATATATATATATATATATATATATCATTTTCTTTGCGAGTAAGGGTTTAAGCTGTGAGTGAATTTATAAAAAGAAAAAAACAGGAAGAGAGAAAGACAACGGATGCAGTAAGATTAGTGACGGACAGATATAGACTAAGATTATAATGAATTACCCTTGATGATGGAGTTAATTTTTTATACAAAAGGTGTAAAACAAATCCTTTCTGGTACATTTTACATGTTGTTTTAACTATGAAACACATTCACACTGCACCAGACTGAAACACTAATTTGAATACTAAACTGGATCTTAAATATTATGCCTGCACGCATGTGGAACAATCTACAAAAGTTTTAAAAGTTAGACAGGCAAATTCAGTTCATTCAATTCTAATATTTTATGACTTACATACAGCAGTGTGAATGCATCTGTTTTCGATGTATTGATGTCTCTTGTGCTTCTTTTGTGTATAGTTATTGTATACTTACTTTTTGAATTGGACTATTTAAACATATTTTAGTTACAAATCAATATCCTTATTCATTTGAAAAGGTGATGAACTTAAGTGTAATATTCCTTCACTCATATTTTTCACTAACTCCTGAGGGAAATATCTGGCTCGTCACAAACTTAATCCACTTAGTTCACTAACATTTTTTGAGACCCAGTTAAAAACAGTTTCCCAACATTTGACATTGTATTATATTTCATCGTTCAGCTGGCACAGAGAACCAAGAGGCAGAAGATGAGTACCACCGCACCGCTCAGGCTAGCTGGGCTCATCGAATGTTCACGTCGTTGTTCAGTGAATCGTCCTTATTCAACACAAGAGAGGGCCGGGCTGGGAAGGTAACTGAATATGTGAATTAAAACGCTTCATACAACAAACAGCATGTTCTCCAGCAAACATTGTTGTTTCACTTTTCATTTATTCAAATTCACAACCAGCTGTCTTCCTTTACAACTCCTCTCGTCCTGTTGCCAGGTGCATAACTTCATGCTGGGCCTGAACCTGAACACCAGCACCCCCTTCTCTCCGGGCAACGAGGTCCCCAGCCAAGCCCCCCCACCTGAGGAGGAGGTGGATGCTGTCACAGGTTAGAAGGATGGTCACAAATTCAATATTTTAGACGAGAAATAAAACATAAGAATGATCATTTTGCATAAAGGAGTTTTGATTCACTTTGATTATTGATTATACCAACTGACAATGCTTAGCAACTGTATCTAGCTGCAAACATTTTAACTGAATACATGCAGAATAGTATCTCATGTGTTAATTTGCAGCTAAATGCATGTGAAACTGAACACAGGGCTGGTTAACAAGAATACATTTTCAGTATTGAACAAATTGCACCAAAATCTAAATAATAATTTCATAGATTTTATACTCTATGTTGGTCCTTACACTGCTGCTTCAAAACAGCATGAACTGATTGTCTTGTACATTTCCAAATGATTTGTTACATCAGAAAACATTTTCCTAAGAGTTTACATTCACAATTCCTAGTTTAAGTATTTTTTAGTAGAGCATATACAGTAAGATCATTTTACAATTCATGTTGTGTTTTCAACTCATTCAAGTTAATTCTAACATTCTTGCCACCTACAAATCACTTCTCAGCGTTTGGTTCTTCTTTCTTTTATCCTCTCTTGCTATTTGTCGTTTTAAAAAACCCAAGACGCTGATGGTAATTCTCAGGGGAACTACATGTATAGAGTTTGGTGGTAATTCTTTGTGAGTTCATCACTACAAGCAACTTCTTTCAAAATACATGCAGTAATGTTTACACATTGCCGTTATAGAAATATTGATTAGTAATGAGTTTTTTCTTTCTGAAACACTTAAGTAAGGCAGCTTGCCTACTGGTATTAAAGGGCCCATGTCATGCTTTTCCGGTTATTACCCGTCCCCTTGTGTGTTATGAAGGTTTTTATGCATGTAAACGGTGTGCAGAGTCACAAACCCTCAAAGTACACCCTGTAGCGAGTAAAACTCTAACACAGAAAATACCTCCCCAAAACGCCTCGTTGGAGATACGTCATTGTCCATTTGATTCTTCCATTTCGTTCCGGGTACGGCATGATATCAAGCCGTACCCGGAAATGGACCAATCCGTGGAGCCGTTACGTTACGTCCGCGGAGCCGTTACGTTAAGCCCCCGCTGATTGGTCCAAATTGACCAATCCACTGACTTCCTCACACACACATCTGTGTGCAGGGAGCAGGCAGCTCAGCTGATTTCTCCTCCCTGGCTGCAGGCTGATAACAGACAGTTGGGATCGCGGCGAAATTCTCTCTGCAGACCCATTCTCACAGCGTTTATCAACCTTTTTCTTACTCAATATCAAGCCACACTTATTGTTTTTACTTCGGCTGTGACTTTGTGTGTGCTCAGGATGAGTTTGGCTGTGTTTGGCTGTGTATCGCTAACAAGGATACAACACCTCCACGGAGCTCAGCGCGATTCACAACGTCCCGACCAATCAGAGCACACTGTGCTCACAGGGAGGGTGGGGGCTGGAGCTATTGGAGCTACAACGAGCCGTTAAAGGCAGAGAGTGAGATTCAGTGAATACACGTAGTTTACAGAGATGCTGTATGAGAAACCAATGTGAGTTTGGAAAATTGCACAATATAAATCTATTCTAGTATACCTCAACAATGGAATTATGATCAGTGGAAATGGCCATGACATGGGCCATTTAAAGCACAGGTGTGGTCTGATTCTTTTTCAAACGAAACCTAGCCCTGCTTCCTTTGAACTTCATGTTCTGCAGTTGAGTCACTAGGTCAGGCATGCAGAAAATGGTTTGGCAGTAGACTACAAAGGTATTTCCCTTTCTTGTCCAATTCATCTTTTGTTTGATTCAATGTGATTTTCTCAGACCCAGATGAGTTTGATCGTATTTACGAGCCTCTGGATGTGAAGAGCAAGAAGATCCATATAGTGGATAGCGGCCTCACCTACAACCTCCCCTACCCTCTCATCCTGCGGCCGGAGCGCGGCGTCAACCTCATCATCTCCTTTGACTTTTCTGCACGACCCAGCGACTCCAGCCCCCCATTCAAGGTCAGAGTCTATTTGTTACAGTCGCAAATTGCTTAAAAGTATCTGTACAATGCATGAACATTGTTTATATTTTCTAAATGTATGCCACAGGAGATCCTTTTGGCAGAAAAGTGGGCTCGGATGAACAAGCTTCCATTCCCCAAGATCGACCCCAAAGTCTTTGACCGCGAGGGCCTGAAGGAATGCTACGTCTTCAAACCAAAAAAAGGAGAAAAGAACTGCCCGACTGTCATCCACTTTGTCTTGGTCAACATCAACTTCAGGACATTTAAGGCACCTGGTGAGTAAGTGCAGATGTGGAGGTTTTTCTCATCATGTGTGAGGAGGAAAATATGCCCAGTCTGTATTATATTAATAATGCTGCTCAAGCGTCATGGAACATGAGGCATCCCTTCCTCGAACTTGAATTCAACCATAATCGTTTCGAGGCAGGCATTTTTTTATGATCAGCCAACAGTTGGGCCCCTCAACTCCCCAATGAAAGAAACTCTGCTCAGGGTCTTTGTGGTTTCGTGGTGGAAATGGTGTGTCTGTCTTTAAGCATACCTGCAATATACTGTGTGTGTGTGTGTGTGTGTGTGTGTGTGTGTGTGTGTGTGTGTGTGTGTGTGTGTGTGTGTGTGTGTGTGTGTGTGTGTGTGTGTGTGTGTGTGTGTGTGTGTGTGTGTGTGGTGTGTGTGTGTGTGTGTGTGTGTGTGTGTGTGTGTGTGTGTTGTGTGTGTGTGTGTGTGTGTGTGTGTGTGTGTGTGTGTGTGTGTGTGTGTGTGTGTGTGTGTGTGTGTGTGTGTGTGTGTGTGTGTGTGTGTGTGTGTGTGTGTGTGTGTGTGTGTGTGTGTGTGTGTGTGTGTGTGTGTGTGTGTGTGTGTGTGTGTGTGTGTGTGTGTGTGTGTGTGTGTGTGTGTGTGTGTGTGTGTGTGTGTGTGTGTGTGTGTGTGTGTGTGTGTGTGTGTGTGTGTGTGTGTGTGTGTGTGTGTGTGTGTGTGTGTGTGTGTGCACACCACGCCTTAGATGTGGACCACAGTGTGTTCAGTGTTTTATGAGCTGCTAGAGTGAATTATGGTTCTCTTAAGGAGCCAGGTGCTGGTAGGGAATCTCTCGTTCCAGTGGGAGAGCTCCTTGTGTAAACATTCTATATATCATGGGCCATACAGAGACACACTATCCCATCGTCTCCTCTCCTGCCTCTTTACATTCAGTAGGTCATCATCAGCCCACATGCTTCCGCAGTCTGTTTATGGAAGTTACATAAGCTTTTTGCACTCAAACCCCAGAGAAATGTGAGGGAGTTGTACCATAAATGGACTTCCTGTCTGTAGAAGTTATACAGGCCGTTATGAAGTCATTTCTCCGATGTATGCATTTTCCAAACCATGACTCCTGGATCATGGTCTTTCATCTTTACTCCTGTAATAATAAAAGCAAAATCTGAATCAATTATACATTTTTCCTAAAAGTGATTGATCTATCAGGTGTTAAAGGTCCCATGACATGGCCATTTCTACTGATCATAATTCCATTGTTGAGGTCTACTAGAATAGATTTACATTGTTCAATGTTCCAAAATCACATTGGTTTTCTCATACAGCATCTCGGTATAGTATGTCCCTGCTGAAAAAAACAGCTTAGACCAGCTTAGTTGACCAGCCTGACCAGCCAGTAGATATTAGGCTGGAATGGTTGGCTGGTTTAGAGGGGTTTTGGACACTTTAGCTGGCCAGGATGGCTGGTTTAGCTGGTTTAGCTGACCAGCTAAACCAGCTAAACCAGCCATCCTGACCAGCTAAGAAAAACAGCATAGACCAGCATAGTATTCTGGTCTATGCTGGGCTGGTCACCAGCATCCATCTATCACCAGCTTATGTTTAATTATAGTATTAAATATACCATGCTGGAAGCTTACCAGGATTCCAGGTGACCAGCATACATTGTTTAAATACTGGTATGATTATTTAAACCAGAGAACATAAATATATTACAAAGATTCATTGTGTCATGTATTCTGGTATCTACCAAAATAAAGACATTGTATAGTGTTCATAACAGTATTTTAATTGAATAAATAGCAATAAATAGCTAGTTAATATAATAAAATACACAGTAACAATACAATAATTATACAAACAACAACCAACCTGCAAATCAACCTATACATCAAAATAAATACATTATCTAAAACAGGTGCATTTGATTTAAAATAAAAGTAATAAATATAATTCAATATTTAAATGGTAACAAAAACAGTAACACTATGTATGATAAGAAAAAGGCAACAAAGAAAGAGTTTTTTGTTTTTCCTTGTTCATGTCCATAATGTTTCCTGTAGCATCCAGCCTTTCCCAATCTGGCCTGCATTTCTGTCTGTTGAAGCCACTTCTTGAAGCAAACTGAGAAAATAAATGTACAGATATAAGTACACTGTAAAAAGAAAACTTGACATTTACGTTAACATTTGGGCTGCTGTGGTTGCCAGAACTTGACCGTTAAAGTATGGTAAAATACATTACAAATTACAGTTGGTTGGCATAGACGTTACAGTCAACAATTGCTTATGGTGAATTACAATGGCAAAAACAAATAGAGCTAGTGTACACGGTGCAGCTGTATTATCTGGGAAATGGAAGAATCGGATCAGGATTCGGTATTGGCAGACAATCAATATAAATTAATCGGATCATTATTAGCATCAGCATTTGATCACCTTTGTTGACTTGCAGCCTAAATACAAAGATAACTCCACTCCTCTCCTAGCACTCTTACCTCAAATTAGAAAATGCATTTCCTGCTGAAAATGCGTGTGAATGCTGTAAACTGTGTACATTATTAGTTGAGTGGTCTCTGTAGCTGCTTTTAGCTACAAAAACCAAGTAAGTGTGTTGCGGAAAAATGCAAAAAAGTTAAATGATTTGAATCAAAATTGTTACAGCTCAAATGCATTGCAATGACTTTGTTGAACACTTGAAAGTGAAATGTAAACTGGAAGAGTAGGAAAAATAGTGAAGAGGCTTAATATTTAAAAGTAAAATGTATAGCCTCAATGTGCTGAAATAGCTGAATAATGTAATAGTTGAATGGTTTCTGTAGCTGAAAGTAGGCTGAAGGAGTTAGATATTAAATGTAAGTAGTAGTGAATGAATGTGTATTAAGAAGAGAAAAGAAAGTAAAAACAATTTGAAAAGCAGCAGAATATTTTAACTGCAAACTTTTGAACTAAAACCATACGTGACCAATAATGTATAAAATATGTGGAACGTGTTGAAGTCAGTCTGAAGTCTCCATCAGACAGAAAATAATAGGCTGAGACAGTCTGTTTAACTCCATGGTGATGTGCAGTGATCAGTGAGAGGAGAGCCTTTCCATTGTTCTGAGTGAGAAATACACCTCTTACATTTCTAACTATAGTTTAAATATGGTAGCTGCTGTCGGTAAAATGTCAACGCGTGAAGCATGTCAAGGACCCTGCTTTTGTGTACTTTCGGGTCAATAATGTGGCTTTTTGGCAGATTTACTAAAGGTGTGCTGCTGGTGCTCTGAGGAAAGATCAGGCTGAATTTACAATGGGCCTTAATGGAACCATGTTGAACGTTTTTGTCACTTCATGCCCTCAAGAGGCATTTTGTTTAATTTTTCAACGTAGGAGAGGTTTTCTTACGTTTTTCATGAAAAATTATGTCCAAGGAGTGTAGGGTTTGGGAATTATGGCAGGTTTAAAAAAATAATTGAAGGCGAATTTCAAGCTCTCCTCCACTCTAGCTGTGCATCACGCACTCTAACACTTAACGAGCTGCGCAATACACACTAATGTTAAAATCTGAAGAAGGCCTCTTTACCAAGCTCCAAGCTAAGTTAAATATCTCAAAAAGTGTAAAAGATATAAAAAATCTGAATACGATTTCAATAGCTGAATTTCTTGTGATCATTTTAAAGTTGGAATGAAGTCTCTAGCTGAAAGTATGTGGAAGGAGTAGCATTTGGCGCATGGTGTAGGTAAAAGAGGATTTGAAGGTCCCTCCCATTGAGTTACATGTTAAAAAAAAGAGTTTAAAAAGCTGAATATTTCAAAAAGTATAAAATATTTTGAAAAAGTTGAAAGTTTCCCATCATGTGCTAAAAAGGCTGAATATTTTGATATTTGAATGGTTTCTGTAGCTGAAAGTATGCTGAAGTTATTGAGAGCCAAACTATTTGGTGAAACATACTGTAAACATACTTACCACTATTTAGGAAAGGCTCTGATCAGAAGGGTTGACTAGTCACTAGTAGGACAGCAAAGAGGTGGAGGAGGTCTCTGAATTTGAATTTGTGTGCGGAGCTCCGCAGCGTTACGTCAGTATGCCCTGAAGAAAAAAATGGAAAAAGAGAAATCTCCAACGAGGCGTTCTGGGGCAGCATAGACAGGTATTTTCTGTGTTAGAGTTTTACTCGCTACAGGGTGTGCTTTGAGGGTTTGTGACTTTGCAGACCGTTTACATGCAGAAAAAGCTACATAACACACAAGGGGACGGGTAATAACCGGAAAAGCATGTCATGGGACCTTTAATATAGCAAGCTATTTTAAACATAGGTGTTCATAAATAAAGATACATCACTACAGATATCTTACAAATGTTTTCTCATACTGATGAAAGAAGGACCTTTTTTTTAATTTAATTTTTTTAATACAAGTAAAATAAATATTGTTCTGTAGATATTGTCTTCATCAACAAAACATGTAAAATGTAAAGCATGTTACTCACTCAAAATGTGAGAATATTATAAATATATTATATAGCTGACAAAACAAGCAAAAATAGTTTTTCTTAGCCTCATCAATCAATAAAATCAAAATGAATTTCATTTATTTGTTTGAAAATCAAAAATGAAATTAAAAGCTCAACATTTCAAGCATCAGTCAGATTTATATGGATTTATTGTCTTATTTTCTAACTCTTTAATTTCTTACAGGTGTACCCAGAGAGACTGAAAAGGAGAAGGACTTGGCTGACTTTGACATCTTTGACGACCCAGAGTCACCATTCTCCACTTTTAACTTCCAGTACTCCAACGAGGCCTTCACCCGACTCCACGACCTCATGGAGTTCAACACTCTAAACAACCTGGAGGTCAGTTGTGTAGTTATGGTTACACTACAGGATGTTTAGATGGAGGGATGCATATTTGGCATACTTAAAGTTTCCAACCACAAACAACCGGAAACAATAGTGGTGCCTGCAGTTTGTAAGACTCGATGTCATCAGAGGGTTAAAAACGGATTCAAAGCTTTGATCCATCTGCTGAGTAATTCTCATGAATTCCTACTGTAATTCTTGGTTAATCCACCTTCATTCAGTAGGGAATGTTAACATACAGTACTTGCGTTGTCACTGCACAAATATCAGTTTGTTAAGCAACACCAAACATCCCATTAAAGACCGGATAGTACAAGTTTTCTCTAGTTCACAGTAGGTGTGTTACCCTGAGCGGTCAGACTGACTTTCACTCACCTTATCTGACTCACTTCCATGCTGAGTAACGTTTCAAATGTGATGCAATGTATTTTGGGATTACAATGGAAAGACAGCCTATTGAAGACAGATTTATACTGTCAATAAAGATACACCGACTCAGCAGATTTGAGCACAAAACCCAATTTTATACTTGAATGAAAAATGTGCCCAGTACCACCAACGTTTGGTAATTTATGCAACAATATTTGGATGTGATCCACAGCACACGACTGTGCAAACATGTGCATACTGATCTGAGCATATTTAAAGCAGTGTCAAGTGTCAGATGGTAATGTTGGTCAGAACAGAGTATCTCAAAATCATTGAATAATAATGTGAACCAAAAAAACTCTTCTCACAAAAAACTATATTTTGTAGAACCACCTGAATTAGATAGTACTGTATAGCCAAATGTATTTGAGCTAACATTGGTATGGGTCTGGCATTTCAGATGTAATCCCTGTATTTGTCCCCTGTAGGTGATCAAGGAAGCCATCAAGGACTGCATCGTGTCCAGGAAGGAGGATCCCTCGTGCACCACCCTTCCCTTCTCCCTCAGTGCAATCCCCAAAAAGAAGTTTCTCAAAAGAGCTTCTCTGGCAGAACCCTTTGACTTCCTGGGGAATAAAAACTAGTAATCTGATCCAAGACTTCAGATACAGCAGACTTTTTTTTATTGTAGATTCAGTCTTAAAGTAAAGCATTTTCTTTTTGGAAAAGTCTATCAAGTTGATCTCTTTTTGCATATTTTCAATCCTCCATTTTTCATAAAGAACCTTAAAGTTTATACAAGCCCTATGATTGCATTCATATACAACACAATGAGAATATTTTTCTAGCTATGTTCGCCTGTTGGAGTTTATTGATCAGAGACAGCTGATCTCCGTTTCTACCTGCTGGTTATAAAAAATACTTGACACTGAGAAACTATGCTATATCTTACAGTAGTTTTTCATTTGGGAAACAAATCTCAGTTATATATTTTCATTTACTTCATGTGAATGTTGTACTCCAGTTGCAACAAGCCCATTCCATGTGGACACCTTTTGTTCTTGCTTCCGAGAGCAAATCATATTTTCCATCATTCCTTTTACTTTTTATGCAGTGAGCTGTGTCTAAATTATGCTTGGAGCTGTGTGAATGCACTGTGCGAAGCCTCACCTGTTACTGTTTTTCAGCTGTAACTGTTTTTCAGCTGAACTCTTTCCATATTGACTACCAAACATGCAAGTCATTAGGGTTTTTTTTTTGTTCACCCAGCAGCTCGTCTTAACATGTAATCCTTTTTGAAAACATAGAAGAGTAGCTGGTAACCATTGGTTTTGTTTAATGGCAACTCCTAAGCACGCTAAATGCACCCCCTCTGGATACATCAAACATCTCAATGATGCTTACCCGCCTACTGGGAGTGTCTCATATTAAAGCCACCATTTTGGAAAAAACAAACTTGAAGCCATAGAAACGGCCACGCTTCTTCTCTCCCTCACCCTTTCTCTATATCTCTAGGTGTGGTTATTTTCCTGATCATGTTGTTTCAGCTATAGTTTTTTTCACGGACCATTTCCAATCAACCCATCCGGTGCAGGACTCTCTGAATGCTGAATAAGTGGAGCTTATGTGAGGGTGGGTGGGGGTGGAAAAGGTGGCTCTCCGCGGCCCTCAGTGGAATTTAACACACTACACCTACACCTGCAGCAGTGGAGGTCTGGAATCTGACACACTACACCTATACCTGCAGGGGCCCAAAGGCTGCACACAGAGCAGTGGAATTGTACACCTAGCACTTTCTAACACAATATGCTCATGTTTCAGCCCTGCTGGTTTGGAGGATACTGAGAAAACAATAAGAAAGTGTTTTACATTCTGTCTGCAGCGATTCATGACCCCTGAAACATGTGTTGGTTTTTTGAGCAGAGAGTTTGTGTCCATTTCTGCAAGTTCATGTTTCTGCAGTGAAGTCATTATACTTGGGGAATTGTTTTTTTGTTTATTTGAAACTACTCTATTTGTCCGTTACATATAGAGGGCCAAAGACATGACAACAAGGGCTGGCTTTTGTTAAGCTATTGAAACTGATTCTGAACCTAAAGGCTGGCGTGCGTTTTAGAGCGCATACATACAAACATGGCTGAAGTAAAAAGAAAATAAGAAGAACAAAGGGAGAAGGCCTAGCTAGGAAGGCTAGTTCTCTCCCCTTGTTTTCAGCCTGAAGGCTAAGCTAAGCTAAGCTAACCATATGTTAGTTCTGGCCTTAAATGTAAAACACAGATATAAAAGTGCTACTGATCATGCTATCTATGTACATTCGCAAAAAAAAGAAGCACATTCCCCAAATGTTGAAAGTGTTTAGACTCAAAGCAACAAAACAAGCATTTTATCTGTTCAAAACTCCGTGAGCTATGTTTCACTATTATTTGTAGAATCATTTTAGAAAGCATACACAAACTGTAACCCTTTAATTTTTCTAATATATTTTTGTCATATTACATTTTTATGTTCTTTGGACAATGTTTACAAAATGTGCAAGATGCTAAATGGTCAACTTGACAAGATGCGTAGACAATTACTCCTGTGATCTTTAACTGTTAAAACTGGCAAAGCAAAACATACATAATGTTTATGTGTATTGTAAAAAAAGGACAATAATAAAAGACAATTGCATCTTGTGTGTAATGTTTTCTCTCAAAATATCTGATATCCTTCCTTCATCCGTGAGACCATACCTGAAAAAACACAGCAGATAATAAAAAAGTGAAAGGTTGCATTTCTGGCATGCCATGTTTTGGATTATTTCAAACCGTCAGATTATATCTGACAAAATGGGCGGCAGGCTTGATCTTTATGGATAGATAGTGTTTGGTTTAGACAGATCTTTTAAACACATCAAATGTAGGCTTTGCTTTTGACCGTAATAAAGGCTGATGGTCCAGTGTTTGTCTTTCTGTCTGACTAACACATCCAGACCCTCAGTGATGCTATCTCTAAAATACACAAATGAAAACCTGAAAAAAATAGGAATTTAACAAATGAAAAAAACGTGTGTATAAAATGCACTAAAACCTGGACTAGTGCAACCAACACTAACAGCGCATAACAAAGATGGATAATTATAGGTAGACGTACTGCGTGAATTCTCTATATTGTTTTCAATTAGGTTACTTTCATTCTTCTTTATTTTTTTAAACGCAGTTAGTGGACACCTGATTTATTAAAAGCAAATTCATTTATTAAACTAAAAACAGAATTTGTACACCATACTATTATAAAAAAACCTAACCTACAATTTAAGATAATATATTTGATACGAAATATCTTGGTTTCTTCTTTTCTGAGGCTACAGTATATTGTTTATATATACAAAATAACACATATAAAGACATAAGACATATAAAAAGACATACAAAATAACATTGCATAGTATTAAGCAATGTTATTTTTTATATGTCTTTTTTCTTATTCCACAAGCAATGTAAAGTAATCAGGTTACTTTAGTTTTATATTGTCATTCTCAGATTGAGTTTCTGATTACATTTTCTTTACATAAAACTAGTAATTGTAATTGGTGACTTTAAAAATGTATTCTGTTACAATTGCTATTTACCTGTAAAAAAAAAAGTATAGAACCAGCCCATTGACCAATGTCCACTGTAGTGGACAATTTGTTTACATGCATCTCCTTTTACTTTTTTGAGCTACTCTATTAATCTCTGATGCACTGTACAGAGGACATCCTGGGCTTTCCAGTGATATGTCATTAGTTAAAATGGCAAGCTGGGAAGTTCCTCTTTCTTTTCATCCAAAATGGCCGTCATACCAACAAAAACATTTCATAGTAGGAGGAGGGGTATGTCAAATATTGTTGATACATTTGTATTTTTACAATGAAAACCATTATCATCTTGGACTTAATGACTCAACATTGTTGCATGAGATGGAACTGAAGCAGACATTTTCTGTACCAGATAGTTAAGGGAGATTCAGATTTGGAGCTCTCAGATGATGAGAGAGATAAGGATTTCACACCTGGGATAGAAGAGGGTGAAGAAGTAGGGGGAAAAGAGGCAGGAGGCTCAGATGAGCGCACAGATACAGACATAGAGACAGATAGGGACGAGCAGGAAAGACATGCTCATTGCTGCAGCATTCACCAAAAACCAAACTAGTGTTTTAGTGATAAAATATACAGCAATGTTCAAATCAATTACTTATTTATTGTTTAAATAATGGTGAATACATTCTTGTATTAAGATCACTCTATAAGCCTAATATGTTACGTACTTTATCTGTTAATTTTGGCTGTCCTTTCACAATAATATGGTCTTGACGTCCTCTACAGCGGACATACTGTAACATTTAAAGTTAAATTACATTTTAAAAAGTCTAAATTGCAAAATGTTTTATTAACCCTAAAAAATTGTCAAATTCAACGCAAAAGAATTTGAGAAAAAATAAATACAAAAATTATGGATTTTACTTAACTGTATTATGTAATACAACAGAACAATGTTTTTTGGTTTACTGCAGCTTTTCATATGTTCAGTCAGGAGTCTAATAATGACTGATAATGGTGTTTAATAAATCTTACATCCAAAAACATGTCAATCACCGTAATGATAATCTCAACATGTTTAAAACTTTAACTCAATGTTACAAAAGGACACACCGCAACCACTTCCAGAGAGGAAGGGAGCCACACACAGTCATAGCCTGAAGACCTGATCCGAAGCAACACCCACTAGTTCATTAAATTCCCCAATTAAATCATCATCCGAGAACGATATGTCCCCCACGAGAATATTCTCATTAAGTGCTTAGGATAATTTGCTAAGGTGTAAACCTTAGTCCTTCTGTGGCATGGAAGCACCGCGCCCAGCGCCTGCACATTTGATGATGAATGGCCTTCTTCAGGTTTCATCTGTTCATCTCCGCCTGTCTGTCTCAGTGTTTGCTGTTCAACAGGAGAGGAAGCGGGCTCCATATAGAAATTTTCCAGGGCCTATTAATTTTCACATTCACGTGAAGGTCATGTATGTGCCTGTACCCTCGCCTTTTGATGTGTTGAGTCATTCACATAGCACAGACGGGTTGGGGCACACAAAGCCTGCAATGAGGACTCATGACCTATGCACGCAAGGTTGTGTGAGTGTGTGTTGTGAGTGTGTGTTTGATTATTTTTGAGAGAGAGTGAGGGGGTGGAAGAAAGAGAGAGAAAGAAAATAAATGTGTATGCATGTTTTCATTTAAGTGTGTGTTTGATGGGGTGGGGGTGGTCATAATATCCTGCTATTCAGGTTGTGTTATCAGCTTTACTATTTGAGCAATACTTTCCCACCTCCCTGAAACCAGTTGTGTTCCTTCAGATCTGTGAGTTTGTGTGTGTGTGTGTGTGTGTGTGTGTGTGTGTGTGTGTGTGTGTGTGTGTGTGTGTGTGTGTGTGTGTGTGTGTGTGTGTGTGTGTGTTGGATGGAAAAGGAAGTCAGCCCTGGGAAATACATTAACTTATGTTATCCTTTTCTCCTCCTGAGGGCCAGCTGTCTAGACAGAGCAGATAAGGAAATTAAACATTCCACTTCCGACAAAATAAAAGCATTAATATGTGTCAGAATTTCTTGACTTCCCAGAAAATTCCTGTGTGTGATGAACTAGTTTCTATTGTTCAGGTTCCACACACATATTGTCAGCCTGTTAACCATAGCAACATCACAGAAATCCCAGCCAGAATTAAACATGAGCTCATAAGTTTGAGTAAAAAAAGATTGGAAAAGAGTCAAAAAGGTTTAACTGCAGTTTGACAAGCGGATATGTCTGTTTGTGTTTATTCCAAATGGTGTCTGTGATTCAATAGATGAGTGTGTGCATTAGCGAAATGGAAAGTTTTTCTTACGTCCTGCTGAGAAAAAATGCATGTTCATGTGACGCAGGGAAACCCTGACATCCCGAAGCTGATGCGTTGGACTACCCATGAGGGTCTGAGTTAAATAAATAAAGCAGTGAAATGCAGTGACTCCAACCACCCACCCACACACATTCACACACACACACACACACACACACAACACACACACACACACACACACACACACACACAACACACACACACAACACACAACACACACACCACACCACACACACACACACGCACACACACGCACACACACACACACACACACACACACACATTCACCACACACACACACACACCCACACGCACACACACACACGCACACACACACACACACACACACACACACAATTCTCTGTTCCAGCAGATACAACTCCTACAACATTTTACATCACAGGAGCAGTTGCGTTCATGTCCTAACAGACTCATGCTCATGCAATGGTAGAAGTGCATTAGACTGGTGTTATGCCCCCGCATAACACCAGTCTAATGCACTTCTAGTCTCTCTGATCCTGTGGGAGGACAGTATACTCAGCATCCAGTGACGGGATGCGTTGTTTAGTCTCTGCCAAACATCTTCAACCTTCTTTCATATTTACACAACTATATATATGCTTCTATACTCTTTTCTTCCTCGTACACATGCTTTTTCTTGAAAAGGAGATCTTGTCATTTGCACCAACCTTGTTTGCCATCTGCATTGCAGCCAAAACGTACCTAAGGGGGATTCTAACTCAAGAATATAAACAAGTTTAATGAATTTCAACCTCAATAGACTAGCATATGCATATGAGTCTAATTATTCACTCTGTAATATACCTATAAAACATCTTGAAGAAGAACAGGCTTCTACAGCCACGTAGACCCACAATAAGAAAGACAATCATAGGCCTACTCATCTTGCAGCGATCAACCATGATTTATAATTGCCAGCTGATACAGCGAAACTGTAGCTGTATTCAGCTTGTAAATCTGTATGCTGTGTCCGGTGCCTTGCTCAAGGGCACCACTGCAGGTGAACTGGGACCTCTCCGAGTAGCAGTCCACACTCCATATTTAGGTCTGTTCGGGGACTTGAACCGGCGACCCTAGAGCTCCCAGTCCAAGCCCCAAGTGACTGAGGCCGGGCATAATGAGTACTTTTACTTTTGGTATATTTTGATGCCAATACATTTGTACTTTTCATTGAGTAACATTTTGAATGCAGGGCTTTTACATCTAAAAAAGTATTCCTTCACTGTGGTACTTCTACTTTTACTCATGTACAAGATCTGAGGACTTTTTCCACCTCTGATTGTAAGACATTGCTTTGAAACAAGACACTCATGTACAATCTGGATTATTAAAAGCAGCCAGGTTAAACCTTTTGGCATAATTTGTCCTAAAGTCGGTGGAAATGGGTGCACTCTCTTTGAATAACATGACTTGGTTGCATGTTACATGACAATAAGTTCAATTTAATTAGAGTCTTGGTTGGAAAGAGAAGATTTGTAATTGCCAATGTTTCTCTGTTATTGAATTGTATACAGCTCTTCCATTGATAAGAAATATGTTTTTATATTCAAGTTCCTTTACCTTTACCACACTTGATTTGTTTTTTATTTGACATTTTATTTGTATGCATCAAAACACCAGAGCATTTCTTTGTGGGCGAAAACCTCCTCGGCAATGATGGTTGTGCACGAGGCAATAAATAAGTTTAAACTGGAAGTCTAATGTTTTGTCGCTCTCTAGTGGCAACAACTGGTAACTACAGACAACGAC